CTTCCTTCCTTCCTTCCTTCCTTCCTTCCTTCCTTCCTTCCTTCCTTTTTTCCTTCCTAAGTTGCTCCTGTCAGGGTATTTTATCACAGCACCAGTAAAATACTGGGTAATTGTTTGCTGGGTGCCCTGGGTCGGTTCTTTTGTGCCCTTGCATCCCTTGACATGCATAGGACACTCCTTAAGCATTGTAAGCAACACGGGGGAGGGGGGAGTGGCTACAGGATAGGGGAAAGTTAGATGCCACACTGCCATGGCGAGAGACACCCTGTGTCTGTGGCAGAAACAGAGGACTGGGGGCTGTGCCATTGTCAGTGGAGGCAAGAGCTGGTGCGCCAAGACTTACCTGTGGGTGTTTCCCAAGGCCATGGAAATGCCAGTCCCACAGTGCCATTAATAAGATAAAAACACGACTTAAAGAGGCCACATGCAATTAGTACACCATCTTTGGTCTGTTAAAATGTTTAATGAGTGCATACAAAGGCAGAGATACACATTGTGAGGGAGTTCACAACAAACTGTAGCAGTACAACCACCTAAGGGATTCACCATGACAACAAACCGAGTACAAACGTCCCACCTCCACAGAAGGTGCAGCGCCCGTCACACTCCGGGATGACTGCTCCTACTCAGGTGGAGGTGGATGGCTGTGACCACCAAGGCAGCAGGAAGGCAGAGTTAGTCACCAGGGACCAATGACCGCCCAAGGGAGGATGCCCCACAGCGCAGTTCATACGAGGAATCTCAAAAGCGTGAACTTGGACACAGACGCTAGTGTGCCCAGCACAGACGCACCTTCTCCAGAGAGTCTCTGGGAGACGCTTGCCAAGTGGATGGGAGTGGAGAGTGGAATGCGGCTCCCTAGTTCCCTCTGAGGAGCTCTGTCTGCTTCTGCCTGGCCCCTGAGCTCTCTATTAGCAGAAGGAAATGACAAACACTTCCCTCTCCGATGGCTGCACTCTGCTGGAACCCTGGGAGAATTACATGGGCTATTCCAGTGTGTCCTCATGTGGCCTCTCATGTCACCTTGCCACGGAATGGCAAGTGTATCTGCAACCTTTGGATGCCATGTTAACAGTGAAGACTAAACTTAACTGTAGAATGGAGATACATTTAATAAAAGTTGGACTACCATGGAAAAGTATCAGGAAGCAGATGCTCTGGCTAATTTACAGACCTATCACACCCAGTAGTACTGAGTGGTGGGAATGGACTTGATCCCACCGCTAGAGCAGCCATTTGGTTGATGAAATGCCTGCACTGGCAGGTTAGAATGGAGCTTTCAGATAAGAAAGAGAAAAAAGATGGAGGCCATCCATGAGGGGGCTTAGGGTAGACCATCCCTCCCTGCTGGAGGACTGGAAGATTGTCTGTCTCCCTGTGGCACTGCTGCATGCTGTCTTCATGTGACAGTGCGTGGTCAGCCTCGGTCCTCTGTGAGACGCAGCTTGCTTTGGGTGGGAAGGGATCTTCCTAAGATGTGTGTTTGGAGATGCTGGCTGGCAGGCCTGGGGACCGCCCTAGGACGGGGGCTAGCAATAGGTTGGGAGGGTTGGCAATAGGTGAGAGGTAATGGGGTCAGATCAGGTGCCCTTGTTCTTTTCCTCAAAGCCACCTCCTCACATTCTCCCAACTACTGGGCACTGTATGGGCTGGGAAACCTGTTCCTTCCCTTTGAGGCCATAGCACAGCCTTGCTTTCTTCCCACAACAAAGGGGAGCGCTCTCTGCAGTGGACTTTTCACCGCGGGGCTTAGAAGAATGTGCCTTCTCAGGGCGTTCTTCATGTGCTCCCTCTGAATGTCAGCCCAGGGAACACAAAGGCTGGGTGTTGTCCCTGCATTCTGTGGGCCGGGGGTGGTGGCTCTGCATGGCACGGAGGCACCACGTGCTGGGGGAGGGAAGATGCAGGAGGCAACAGGACCAGAAGTCCCTTCGCAGGGTGAGGGAGGGTGTTCAGTCTGCTGGATCCTAGCTGGAGACCCCGCCCCACACAGAGGGGCCACATAGCTGCATCTCCATGTGGCTGGTGGTGGCACCTGTGACTGCTCCCACCTGAGCACCCTGCAGATGTTCAATGTCTTAGAATGACAAGGAGGATGCTGGCTTTAGTCCCAAGCGAAAGCCAGCTAGCCTTTGGGCTCTATTCTTCGCAGCTTTCTTAAGGAGCTTTGTAGTGTAGGAAAACAGGCTCCTTGCCCCATCTATAAACATCAAAATACAAATAGAAACAAATGCTCCTAACAGTCCTCTAGCAGAGAAGGGCACCTCTGGCTATGCTCTGACAAGCTGCAGGAGGGCACAGGGGAGGGAGGGCCAGCACAAACCAACCCTGTATGGAAAAGCCATGACCCTATTTTTGTATGCTAATGTAAAAAGTTAACGATGATGAGAAAATAAGGGTCACATGGGCAGACACCAAAGGAATTTTTTTATATGAAGGTTGTTCATTTTAATAATCCTCCATATTGAAAATGCATAGTAATAGTGCAAAAAAAAATTTGATACTTCAAGTTTCACCCCCTCCCCAATTATTTAAAAAATGATATATATGTAATATATATTTGCCAATATTTGGACTGCTTCTGAGCTTTGAATTTCTGCTTTTAAAAGTTTGAAAAGCTTGTGGTTTTAAAGCAGTGCATGGAGAGACACACTTGTGCACTCTGAGAGAGCCACGGTGCTACACGTGACTTGAACCAGGACCACAAAACTGGCTCTGGGATCCGCGCCCTCCAGTTATTTCATCTTTCCTGCAATTTCAGCTCTTTCCCTTCAGCTGCAGGGACTGGGTGAAGGTTTCTAGGCCGGTAAGGCTGTGTGTGTACGGGAGCTTGGTCACACAGAGAGACCTCAGGGGCCAGTCAGGAGCCTCTAGAGCTGAAGCTCCTCAAGAAGAGTACTTGACAAGCTATGGCAGTATAAGTCAGCCTTGTAGCAAGCCCCGGGACTGACGAATCAGGGCTGAAGGCAACGCCTATAGGCACAGACCCTGAAGGAGTCTGTCAGCAAGCAGGACATACTGAATGTTAGTGACAAGCGAGATGTGGTGACACCCCAGCCAGAGGCAGATTGCTGCTGAGACATCGAGGGCTCTGGGGGCCACAGAGCAGGAGAGCCACCGTGGAGCTCACCTTCAGCAGTTCATAGTCATTTTCACTCTCAAAAGTGTGGCTGGAGACTACAGCATTTCAGAAACCCTGCGCCACCCAAGGCCCTAGAGCCATAGAGAGGCCTCTGCCCCACACTTCAGTCCAAACCCTCTTGAGCCCTCTAAGGCTTTGGGAACAGACACAACTCACAGGCAGAGGAATCTCCCAGGCTGTGAGGGCACTAAAAAACCAGGGCTTATCCACATCACTCTCCAAAGTTGCCCAGCCACCCAACAGGGTCACGGAAAATGCCACTCGCTTGCAAGGTGGCAGCCACCTGGCACCGGCTGCTAGGCAAAGCCGATCCACAGGCTAATGCATACACCCACTCCAGATGTTGCCCTTGGAAACTGGACCACCCACACCAGTTTACCTTCTGATATATTTTAATCCACAGAACATTAGCTTTTAAAACATCATGAAACCAAATTTCTATTTAAATTAATGAAATCACAAAACAATACAGTTTTGACTCACAAACAGTCATTCATCCCTCCCTCCCCCACCAAATTATTTAAGACAAAGAGGAAAGTTGGCTGGAGGTGGAGGGCTTTGACCTCCTTCGCCTCAATCGGATCATTGTTTCACAACGGCAAGAAATCAGCAGCCTGAACCCAGCAGAGAATGAGCACAAATCAGGACTGAAACCAGAAGCACTGCGCAGAGGCAGAAGCGCTGAAGCCCCAGGCATACGGCATATGCACCTAAGGACGGTAGTCTCGTTGCCACATCGGAGGTGCCCCAAAATCCAGGGTGCAGAAGGCCCTTGCATCCCTGAGCGACATCCTAATCACAGTCCCTCGTGAGGAGGACAACTGGAGCAAGACAGGTAGAAATAGGCTAAGTGGTGACTAAGCCCACTCCCCTGGGCTTAGTACTGTCCGACCAGGGCCCATATCTCAAGACACAGGGATATGTCAGTGATGGGGACTGCCCCAGTTCACCTGCCCGCCTCTCCTTCCTTTCTGCACTTAAACCCACAGCTCCTCTACTCCTCGGAGCTCACCTTGCCAGAGCCCCGCTTGGGTGCGCCCCTGTCACCACTAAAGAAGCGCCCAATGGAGTCAAGGATGCCCGAGTCTCTGTGCCTTGGGAGGAAACCATGCCTGGCATGGTCCATGGTACTTGCTGTGGCCAGGTACTTGGATCGCTGAGAGGGTCTCTTCTGGGACGCCATCACATCCAGGCCTTCGGGAGCTGCTGTGGGGTCTTCTTGGATGGTCTGAAGCTCGTCGGACTCGGAGGGCCTGTCTTTGAAGGTGTTGTCCTCCCTTCCCGGGGCATCTCGGGAAAAGAGGCGGATCAAGTGGGGGCGGTGCCCTGGGTCAGCTGGGTGGGAACCTTGCCAGTTATTCTTTGGGTCTGCTGTGTGCTTGGAGTCTGTCACCGCCAAGTCCTCAGCCGAGGTCCCATTGTTCTGGATCGCATCTGCCTCCCCTGCAACAACAATGAGATATGAATGTGGGCCTGTGCACAGCCTAGCAAGGGACAAAGCTGCTTTTTCTCCTGGGGTCTTGAACTAGCTGTCTCCTATAAAACCCACAGATCTATGTGCGGGGGCCCAAGGAACCTCATAGCACCTTGGATGGCTTCAATAGGAGGAGTTAAACCTGGACTGAGCTTGCTTGGATAGAAGGCTCAGGGGCCATCTTCCTGACTTCATCAAAAGAACCACCCAGGGGCGGTGGCCTGAGTACTCATAGCAATCAGGCCAAAACATCTTCTGAGTTGCTCACTTACCAGAGCCTCGCAGTTTAGGTATCTTGTGGGATGTCTCCTGTCTAAAAGGCCACCAGTACATAAGCCCCAAATGTGAAGCCATTGCTTGACAGAAAGTGGCATTAGTGACTTCCCACATCTCTTTGCAGCTAATCCTCAGGGAAGCAGGTCACCAAGCATTCCTCTCTCCCGGATTCCACAGGAGGCCTCCAGCTCCTGGAACTGCTCACTCAGGGCATTTTGATCTGGCCTTTCTGTAAGCCCTAGAAACCAGAATGCTCCACGTGGGATCTGGACACTTCACACTGAGCACACTGCCTCACAGTGTATTACCAAAACTACATTTGTTTTGTTTTGGAAATGAGTCCATTCTTCTCTCAACTTCCAGTGTTAGGTTTAAATGAATGTAATTTAACTTCCCTTCCCAACTCTATCACTTACCTGTAGAAATTTGGGTCAACCACGCTTTCCTATAGTACCACCCATCTAGCTACTCACCTATCCATTTGCTGTCAACCCTCCTTTCAGTCTATCCATCATCTATTCACCTTATCAATCCATCCATCTTCTGCCTCTCTGTTCTATTCATCCATCTACGTACTCATTCACCCACCTATCCATCCACCTACCCATCCATGTACCCACCCACCCATCCATCTATCCATCCATCCACCCACTCACCTATCCATCCATCCATCCATCCACCCACCCATCCATGTACTAACCCACCCATCCATCCATCCATCCATCCACCCATCCATCCATCCACCCACCCATACCCCATGAGTGCTATATTTACTCAACAATATTCATCTACTTACTTGTTTATCCATTTTCAATCCACTCCCACCTTGTCCAACTGCCCAATAATCTATGCATCCTTGTATCCATGCATGCAACTATGCATTGTCAGCCCTCCATCTACCCACCATCTAGTACTTATTGAGTAGGAGGAACACATTTCTGTAAATGCTAGAGCTATGGTGATGAATAAAACGTGGTCCCTTTTCTCATGAAGCTTACATTTTAGTTGGAGAAATCATATGAAAAGTGTATGCTAAGAACTAAATGCCTTTCTCCCAACTAAAATGTTCATATCTTGGCCCTCTACTTGTGATTGTGACTTTAAGTGGAAACAGAGTCTTTGCAGAAGGAAAGCTAGTGAAGACAAGTTCTCAGGTAGTATGGTGGGTCCCATCCTATGGCTGGATTCTTGTAAGAGAGGGAAACTGAGGCAGGGTGCCCCACCAGAGCAGGAATGTGGAAGGTGGAAGGAGAGTCTGAGTGATGTAGCCTCAGCCTCAGCCTCAGGACACCAAGAAATGCTGGCACCACTTGAATGTAGGAGCTACAGAATGGACTCTTGAAGCCTGTGGACTTCAAACAGCTTAATTCTGGATTCCTGCCCTCCACAGCTGAGTTACTGGATCCCACAGTGCAGTCACAGGCCGCCTTGCATGTGTTTTCTCATCAGGAGACTGTGTAAAGACAGACAGCAAGTGAGGGGCCGGCAGGAAGGCCCTTGGGAGGTGACCCCTACTGATGGACAGTCTGGATCCTAAGGAAAGACACACCCTGGAGGCCTGAGCAGGAAAGAGCTCCAGGTCCTGGGAGATGGAATCCAGGAGGCAGGAGGCCTGCAGGTAGAATGGGGAGTCATTGTCAGTTGAAAGCTGATTTTGGAAAGGTAGGTCCAAGTTGCAGGACGGCTGGTCCAGGGCTTATCCCAAGCATGGATGAGAGAAGGGAACTGATAGCTCAAGAGTTCAGAATATGGAGACATGGCAGTGATGGTACCTGTGCCAGGCTGAGGGGACAGGCAGAGCCATGGACTCTCCAGGTTTATATTCCAAGGAGGCAGAGAGAAGGGAGAGGCCCAGAGGGGTGAAACAAGGTGGCTGTGGGTGGGGACACTGTTTCCCTTCGGGTGTTTTCTGGTGACTGTCAGGGCATCGTGAGCTCCCCAGGCTTCTTGACCAATCAGAAGCACCCACAGGACCTGTACAACCACTGGCAGCCCTAGTTCCTCACAGTGAGGATGGAGCCCATGAAGAAGCAGGTGAGCCCATAGGCTCCCATCCCGTCTGTTGGCCACACGTGTGCAATGCCATTTGCTGAGTCACTGCTGGGTGTTTTGTCCTTGGGGTTCCGGGGAGAGGGGTATCCTGCCAGCTCCCTGGGTGGTGAGGATAGCAACCCCAGATACCCTGCAAGAAGTATGTTCATCCCAGTCACACTGTGTGTGCACAGCCAGCTTTGGTGCACTGACTATCAGTCTCAAGGCAGGGTGCTACTTGTGAGCACTCCCGACATCCCATTTCTCAGCTCACCTTACAGGGCTTAGCTGAGCATCAGAACTCCCAGAAATAGATGGCATCAGACCTGCTGAAGGACCAACAGCCTTGCTGTGCAACTTCTGCAAGCTGGATAATCATGAACATACTAGTGAGAAAAAGATCAATAAGGCTTCACACTGAACAGTCTCTGGGAGGGTCTTTGTTTGCATTGAGATGTGATGGCTAAAGTTAGTTATCAACTTGACAGAATCACTTAGGAGATGACTATGATCACAAAGGAGACAATTATAATCACCTAGGAGACAAGCAGGATCACCTAGGAGAACAATTAGAATCAATCACCTAGGAGACAATTAAGTCACTCAGGAGACAACTAGAATCACCTAGGAAACAACTAGAATCATCTAAGAGACAGTTAGAATCATCTAGAGACAAGTAGAATCAATCACCCAGGAAACAATTAAATCACCTAGGAAACAACTAGAACCACCCAGGAGACAATTAGAATCACCTAGGAGATAAGCCTGTGGGCATTTGGGTAAGAGATGCTCTAGGTTAGGTTAATTGAAGGGGGAAGACCCAGATGTGGGTGGTGCCATTCCTCCAGCTAGGAGCCTGGCATGACTATGTAGGAGAAAGCAGGCCAAGTAGCAGAATTTCTCTCTGCTTCCTGACTATGAATGCAATGTGACTGACAGACTCTCCCTCAGTGGCACGCTTTCCCTACTGTACTGGGCTGTACCTTCAAGGCGTGGGCCAGCGTAAACCCTCTCTTCCTTGAGTTGCTGTGGTCAGACATTTTGTCTTGGCAACAAGAAAACAAACCAGTGCAGAAGTGAGGCATACTAGGGTTTTTAAGTGAACTCTGGGAGCGTTCCACTCCCTAAGGAAGTACTCTCTGCCATTCATGCTTGCTAAAATCTTGTCTGGGCTGTTTCTCAGGATTCATACTTGTTAAAATCTTGGTGGGTAACACCATGGTTCTGTAGGTGGGCTCTCCTGGCTGGGCTAGCCCGTTTGCTCTGAGCAGCTGCTCTTTGAGGCCAGCGTAACTGACATGGGACTCACGCCAGTCACAGATAGACTTGGTGAGGGTTAAACTCAGGTGTGTGCACTCCCACAGGTCGACAAAACACCATTAGAAGTGTAGCCCAGGCCTTCTGCGGAATTCCTCCTTTGTGCTGTGTCTAAGTGCTCACATGGAAGGAACTGCTGATGGGGCCAGGATGTCACTGTGCTGGTGTCCTGGTTCCAAAGATGATGGAGAAGAAAAGGAACATATATAAAACATCTCCTGGTCGGAAACACCAGACTTCCGACTCCAGCATGTTACTGTCCTCAGGTGTCTAGGGTAAGTTGAAAGGACCCAGCGACCCACAGCTGCCTGAGCTCACATGGGTGACAGACCGCAGGGCCGGAAGAGCTGATGTGAGGCCTGAGGCTGGTGATGCCCTTGGTTGTGAATATTAACACAAGTTTGCATAAACACGTCCCCACCGCAGCCTTCCAGACTCATCAGAACCACGTGCGTCCATAAACTGCCCTCAAACGACATTGAGCATTGTTGGTAAAGCTGGTGAGCTGACCTTGTTCCAAAGGGTGCCACAGGCCCACCTTGTGGTATACATATTCGGTGGTGACAAAGGACCAGGTAGACTCTGGGAACCAGATGGCTGTGGTCTCATCCAGGCCTCTACTGGATGATGCATGGCATCATGAAGGTGCTGTGGGAACAGGCCACTCAGTTCAGGGTGACTGAGGATAGGCAAGGCCAAGTGGGAGGGGATGTTTGCTGGCGCCCTTTTTCCTGGACACTGGCTGGACTCAATAACAAGAAACACGGTTGCTTCTAACACAGGACTTGGATTCCGTCGCTGTACAGTGTTTGGAAGGCACCCAGGGCACTCTGGGGAGCGATAGAGAGGTGAAGTTTGCAGGATGCGGCATTGACTTACAGGTGGGTGAGGGGGCAGCAGGAGCACCTGGTAGCCTGGCTCTGGAGTTGCGCTATAAATTCTGGAACTGACAGAAATGAATGCAAAGGAGGAGAGAAGACAGGAGCTATACTGTGAGGAACTAAAGCATTAACAAAACACAAGAGCATCTGAATACTAATATTTTTACAACAGTTGGGCTTTGTGTCCTTGAACACAGTTATTTGTGAGATACAGAGAAGCCTCTGTGTCCCAGCAGCGGCTCCTCCCTTCCTGCAAGAAGTGTGGAAAGACCGCTAAACCTGCAGCACACAGCCGTGCAGCTGGGAAGAGCAGAGGAACACTTCGCAGCCAAAGCAAAGCCAGTGAGGCTTTTCAGGCAGACTTCATCTACGGAACAGATCTGTGGCCTATTAGGTGACACATGCAGATCTGGTCCTATGGGTGCAGAGAGGATTTCTAAAATCTCTCCCATCTTATGGCTAAG